CCTCGTGTCCGCGATTCCACCAGTTTCCGCTCTCTATTTTTACCAATCTGATGCACATACAGGTCGTCTATACAAAACGATAGTCTGTTACATATCTGGTTTCTGTATTTCTATTTGTATAGATTGTGTAAGCTTATAAGTTGACACTTCAGTCGGTCCCAGTGAGAATTACTAGCTTGTGAATCACTCTCTCTCTCTCTCTCACTCGCTTCCTAGTTCGCTACACTTGACCTTTCCTTTCATCTTCAGATTTTTAATAATTTTCCCTCAAACTCTATCCCGTTATACAAGGCTTGGAGACTACGGGATTTGATTTTGCAATTTACATACGTTTGTCTTGCAATGAACAATCGATACTTCTAGGTAGATGTTTAAGGAAACAGTAATGCTCGTTATATTAACAATTTATGCCTTTTTCATGTTTTTTCCAGGCTTTTCAAATCACCCAAATTCCAATGACATGTATTTAGCTGCAGCTGCAGTGGCTGCAGCCTCAGCTTCAGTTGGAAATCCCATGTCCGGAGATATTGGTCCTTCCAGATTGTGTAACAGCTTTGCCAATACCCAGTGTTCCATGGGTAGTCGGAATAAATCCACAACAGCGGACCTCGGAGCTAATGTTGTTCCCACAAACGGTTCAAATTGTTCCCTTATGTCTGAATTCCTAGAACGTCCGGATGCAGCTGCGGCGGCTGCAGGAAATCTGGTCGGTTCATCTTCATACAGTTTACTTCCGGCTGTCGCTGTTGCCGCAGCGGCAGCTGCCGGCACAGATCCTTCTGCTCATCCCCCGAATGTGTACTCTCCTTCAGCGATGGGATCATCCACAACAGCTGCTGCTGCAGCAGCAGCCGCGGCAGCCGCGGCCGCAGCCTCATTCCCGTATTACGGTCAGTTTGATTCAATCGGTGGATATGCTTTGAACAATCCGGCGTTGGCTGCGTATTGTTCGTCCGGGCTTCCTCCGCCTCCGGTACCAGCACCACCTGCACTATCGTCAGCGCCATCTCTTGGATCCGGAACAGCACCTGGTGGGGGAACGGGATTCGACAATTCTCCTAACAGTGCTTTATGCGGATTTTACAGCTATCCGTCAGGAGCATATGGAACACGTGGGTATTGTGGTGGCGCAAGTGGCAGTACAGAAAGTAGCGGGAGTAGCCATGGAAGTGAGGCAGGAATGCACTGTGCCAACTCCCATCTGATAGGATCAACCGGTGTGGTAAACTAGGGAAAAATCACAGTTAACATCAGAGACGGCCGACGCGAATGTGGTAAAACAAAGCAGCGGATACTGTGTTTACTCGCTCCGTGTAGTGAGTAAATGGGTCTTATGAATATGAACACGTGCTTCAAATGCCAATTCCCCCCCCCACACACACACGCACGCAATCGTCATCCACTCGCATATGACCACAGATTCGAAAACATCTTTGGCCAATTCTGTATTTCTATTGTATACCTGAACTTGTATACTTTCTCAATCACTCTTTACCACAATCCTAACGCTGATACATGAAATCGAGCATCAAATATGCAATCGCAATTCCTCGTTCATGAAATAAAACTCTACTCACTGAAATCTCGATCACGTGAATGAACAAAACGGATTTCTTCAATCACGTGATGAGAGCAGAATATCAGTTGTTTGTTTTTTTCGCAATACCAATCGGTTCTCATCCCGTCCCTCCCCCTTCCACCTAATCATGTCTTGTCACACAAGTATAAAACGGTAAAATCAAACCAAATAAATCAATAACATGACTAATTTGTATGCCCTTCTACGAAGGTGCACACAAGCATATCTCTCGTCAAACCGGGTTTGCACACAGGGTATCACAGTTCATAAAGGGCAGACCACGAATGTGATCGTTTAGAATTGGTTATTTCTTGTCTCCTTTACGTATTATTTTATCACGTCTTTTCTTGAAATTGTTTTTGATCACACGCTCATCACCAGCTCGACCCCACCCCACCCTCTCCCTCCCCCGGCCAAACACACACACACGCACACTCACCAGTCTAAGCATCTTTCTTTATTTGTTGATTTCACACGTGAACTTCCATGTAATTCAAATTATTCGATTCAAGTCTTTTTCGAATTAAAAATACACTCTTTTCAAAGTGCGCACGCGCACGAGCCCAAATTCTCTCTCTCCACACTGATGGTGGAATGAATTAGAAAACCAGCTATACGTCCCTAGAAGAGTGCATATACAGTTGGATGAAAAATCTACTTTTTCTCTCTGATGGCTCCACGCAATCTGGTCAACCGCGTGGCGTTCTACAGATTCGCGCTTTCAACTTCACTTCCGTCACAATGTTCTCTGTTCTGTTGCGCCTTCATCTTCCTGCTTGCACCCGGGGACAGAATTCTGCAACTATGTCATTCTCCCGTTCAGCTGATCACTGTTCAACTCGCCTTAACGTACATGCTGCCGGGCCACCACCTCCAATCGCTCCGAAATGAGATTCTCTCTCTCCTTGTCTCTCTCTCGCTGGGCTCTCAACTTCGGAAGGTATAATGTGTTTCACATTTGGCCGATGCTGATGGTGATTGTTTTTTTTTAAATTTGCTGCTAGTCAACTGCAAGGTGTGGTGTGAGCAGGTAGGACCATATGTGAGTACATAAACCGGAGCGCAAAGGAGCAATCTATTGCAACCGCATCTCAATCAAATTGCAAAATGGTGACTTCATGTTGTATCGATCCAGTCCGTTTTTCTGTTACGTTAAACCGCTGAAGCTTTCATTCACTTGTTGGCTGTTATTGATGTGACTGTTCCACCTCGTCCTCTTGTTTAATTCTCTCGCTCCGTTTCATCGTGGACATCAAAAATCGTGTCAAATCTGCCGTGTCTCAATCATCCATTCTTTCACTGTCCCTCCGATTTCGCCAACTCCTGGCAACACTGCTGCTACTGTCGCCAATACTGTCACTGTTGCTGCTACTGCTGTTGTTCTTGCTGCTGCTGCTGCTGCTGCTGCTACTGATGCTGTTATGAACGTTGTTGTTGTTGTTGTTTCGCTGCCGTCAAAGTTGCCGCCACCGCCACCATTGTTGCCGTCGCCATTGCCGACAGTACTGCTGCTGTTGATCCTGTTGATTCTCGCGAATGACCTCATCCCGGTCGGTCATTTATGCGCCACACTGTATGTATACGGAACGATGTGTGCGCTCTGTATTTTTGTTCTGTTCTGTTCTATTTCTCCCGATCCTGTTTTTTTTCTCTCTTTTTCATTTTTCTCTGTTTCTTCCCTTCATCCCAAGAACCCACCCACCCTCCTGCCCCCGCTCCCTCAACCCATCCCGATTTCATCGGGACACATTCGGGCACACACACACACACGCACGCACGCACGCATCAACACACATCAGGCCCAGTGCAAATTTCGCCTGTCTCACAGAGTTGGACCTTCCTTTTATCTTTCTGACAGGGTCAAACAACTGCCGTGTAGAATAAAGGAATGAACTCATTCACACCAGTTGTGGATTGATTATTATTATTATTATTATTATTATTACTACTACTATTATTCTTATTGCTAATATTATTGTCATCTTCTCACCCTCCGACTCTCGCGACAATGCAATGCAAATTTTCTTATTATACAACTCGGTTTGTTTTGCGCATTGACTGTTCTCGTCCTATATCCGGTCTGTCTAGGTTTTGATAGAAATGATGCAGAACGGGATCAGATCAAAATACAACGTTGATCCGAAGGATAGGGGCGGCTATTAGGCAAACGCTTCTGGAGAAGCTGGGGAAATTATGGTTGAGGGAAATTGACTATACCACGTGTGGGGTAATATTATAGCCAATTGCTGTTTATATTATTATTATTATTATTATTAGTGATTAGTGTGTTTGTTGTATGTGTGTGTGTGTGTGCATGAGGAAGCGGTAGTCGGAATCTCAAGATATTCTACAGTAAATAAAACATTCCGAAGCAGTTTATTGTCGTAACGGAAGATGCAAACAGATCGTTGAATTGTGTTTGTATGTTTAGAATGTGATTAGCAAGAACCTCTAAGACTCAAACAGTTTCAAATAACTTTGGTGTTGGTTTGTTCTCCGAGATGTTCGAAATGTTGTTCGCAGACGTTTCGTAGCCAACCTGGGCTAATTGGGGGGGAACAACAGCTCCAGCTCGGAGAGCACATCAACATCGAGATCTGCATTTCGAGCTACAATCATTCTACATTATATTCAGTTTAAGGTAACTTTTACAGAAGAATTCAAGACAGAGCCGCGCCTACGGAATGTTGTTCCGCAGAGATGATTTTCTAGTCATTTCAAAACCAAAACGTAACTAAAGGTACACAAGATGGTGCCAACAGCCTTATTTCGTGGCTGATTAGCTTCCTGCTCATCACAATTAGAATTGGTTCCTCGAGCAGAGCGATCGTCTATCAGGCATCAAGCCGCCACGTGCAGGGACATTGTCGCTGACCGTCCGTGATTACCTAGTCAATGACCCGATGATATGGAGACACTCGGTAGCTCTATTGACTCTGGACTTTTATTAGTTTACGAAATTTACAGCCGCATTCATTTATTACTTCAACGGCTTTAGGGCTAGGCATTCGGGACTTTATATGCAGTAAGGGTCTCTGTAGTCAATATTACTGACTCAAAAGCCAACGAAAGATAAGATAGTTTTGGGTGCTGTCAAATTAATTCCGTGAAACGAAATTCAAAAAGAGATGAACATTCTCGACTTGACTGCAAAGCTCCGTCATTCTAGCTAAAAATTATTCAGTATTGCTGTTTGAAAACCAGATAGAGATTTCTAAGGAAAGATTTAAATCTAAATGCACAGATTGTCGATCTTGGTGCAAAGCTAATTCGTTATTGATACAGCGATGATACTTAGGGAAACAGTGGTTTATTAGCTTGTTTTGGAAAAAGGCAACATCGTTTTATGAGTGGTGAGATAGGTCTTCGAAACTCGTTGAAAATTAGCGGATTGAATAATGGTGATTTGAACACAAGG